TTAATTATTACCCTACTCCTTTAAATCTATTCCTCTCCCCACGAAGAACGATCTAACCAGACTTAGGAAGTTTTGCACAGAGGCCAGTTCGACGAGGTGCTTCCCTCCAGGGTGTACGGATAGGCGATTTCTCTTCGAAGGAGCTGTTCTGTACAATGGAAGCGGGTGGGTGGGTGGGAGAGCGGGGGGCAGAGGAAAGACAAAGATAATAATAAAAAAATTAATAACGGAAAATAGTAATACTAATACGCAGTGCATTTATTTTATAATAAAGAGGGGTTAGATTCGAAAACCCATAAAATAAAAGATTAGGAGGAGCGGAGACTGCGATACACTGTTATATGGTCTTTCTAAAAAAAATTAATAATCGGTATATGTGAGTATTAAAAATAATAATTTACATGCGTTTAATATATATTGTGTGTGTGTTCCTTCGGCGTTTTAAACACTGGTTTTTCCTGTGTTTAGGTAATTGAGAATGTGTTGTATAAAAGGAGAGAATCGTATACACTGCAATTGCTACACCTGTTTTGGAAATTGGGGTGGGGGCTGAGAGACAGGGTATTTTGAAATATTTCATACCCTTTTTACTGTGGTTACCAGTACTGTGTACATGTTTGTGCTTAAAAGAAAGAAAGAAAAAAAGAAACCTGGTTATTATTATTATTTGAAAATACGAGTGTTGCATGCACAACCGGTCGGACGAGTGTTGCATGCACAACCGGTCGGTCTCCTGGTAAATTTCGTATTGTGCAGTTAGGTAACGCTTGTGAATTTAAAAAAAAACAACTGTGCACATTTTCTAGCATGTTAACCTTTTTTTTGTTTGTTTGTTTCTGAGTATAATTTCGTTGGAAGCATATCGCAGCTAGGGTGAAAATCATAGAGAAAGTTGAAAAGTTGTGGATAAAATTCGTTCTGCATTTTTCATACGTAACTATGCCCAGTCGTCATTTTGCATGCCCTTTCTCCTTTCCTGCGCCCCTCCTTTCTACCCAATTTAAATATTTGAGGCTCGATTTTTTTAATTTTATTTTTACCCAATAGGTCTTATTGGTCTTACTAGATGAGCTGCCCTTTGTAACTCAACCTCTGCTTCCCTACCTTTAGAGCTCCTGCTCATCTCTCTCAAGGGGGGGGGGGGCTTGTTAAGGGGAGCTTCCCGGTGGATTGTGCCCATTTATATAAAGCCACTAATTAATGAATTCCTATCGGTTAAACACTACCAAGTTGTTTATCTCCCTCCCTCCCCCTTCCTATAACCCCCCCCCCAAAAAAATATCAAAGCAGCTATTTCTCTTTATTTTGTCTTAGGAGTTGCCTTTGCAGCGTCTCAGCTTGCTCATTCTATGCTGTTTGCTGCCATCTACCGTCCAACAGAGGAACGATTCATTTTTTGTTTCCATGTTTTACAATGATTAATTTCCCATGAAAACTAGTTTAAGTAGACCAAGATTTTCATTTTCTACAGTTAATATGTTTTTGTCATGTAATGGATTGGACATGCCTTACACATTCTGGAAACGGAGCTGGAGATAATTCCCATCCATCTCTCCGGGTATATAGCTCGCTCATCATAGTAACTAGGCTTCTTTTAGTGTTTTAAGTCGTGTGAAATACTTTCACAGCTTTCGGATTTTAGCATTAACATTGCGAGATGGGGGGGCGCGGCTTGTGTGTCTCTGTGTGCAGAAAACCCAGTGAACCTTCTTTAACACGAAGAGCTAGTTCTTGAGTTTTGGTAAGTTGATAAAATCGGGTACTTTTCTCGGCGTCTTAAAATAAGTGATTGTTCCTATCAAAGTTGCTTCTGATTATTTCTCTGCTTGAAGTTATTTATGTTTGTCTTTACTTCTGCTCGCATGATCAAATATCGAGTGGTGAACTGAAGCTGGTGTATATATATATATGTGTGTGTGTGTGTATTTGTAAACTGAAAATGAAGGATATTCGCATGTTACAGTGCGTTTAGAAAGAACAATTATTCTCTTCACACTTAACACTATCAGAAACTGGGGGGGTCGTATTCTAGAACTACCTTTGCTTCTACTAACGCAGAACGCAATCCTCCCAGAGGATCTGCTACGAAAACGTCGTTGGCATAAATTGGGCTTCTGCGCCAGAGAACTTTCTGGAAGATTGTGCCCATATTCCTTTAATCCTGACGTCCCCACCCCACCTCAACTACAGCCAGCTGACCTCCACATTCCTATCTGGCTTTGTTGTTTAAAAATCTGTTTAAATGCTATTTCTCATTATTCCTTTACTACCTTTACTTTTGGAGGGAAAGCAAATCAAGCAATATGGCGGTCGTTTTGTGTGCGGCGGTCGGTTGTGGGTTTGTTTGTTTGCTTTTTTAAAATAACACATTAAAAACTTTACCCCAAAGACTCATTTCCCATTTTTGTTAATTATTAGCTCAACTCTTTTGATAAAACAATGACGGGTGCCCCCTCCCTCTTTTTAGTCTTATGTGATCCCATTAACAAAATTATTATACACTGCAGGGGAAGTTAGGTAAATTAAACGTAAATGACTGGAAATTAAGTTTCAAATGGCTGCCTGCTTGGAAAGAGCGAGAGGTATATATATATAATAGATGATAGATAGATAGATAGATAGATAGATAGATAGATAGATAGATAGATAGATATATGCCTTCAGAGTTCATTGTCTTATACATGGCAACAATGCAGGAAAACATCACTTAGATGGAATTGCAATAAGGCTATATATGTGACAAAAGGAAGGCTCTCTCTCCTGTGACTAGTTTTATGATCCTGAATAAAAGCAGGAGGCTATTCAGTCCTGTGTGTATCTGTGCTAGTGTTTAAAGGCCGGTCTTCACTTTATGGTACCAATTTAAGTCTCCTGCCCAAAAGTCCTGCTGGCTTCGCACTTCTCTATGCTGCTGAATTACAACCTCCACGTTAAATAGAATAGCCAGATACTCCTCCTTTTCTTTTCTGGTTAAGAAGAATTTCTCGCTTTGCCTAGGTTGCAGATTATTGGGCTGCTTTAACTTTGCTTAAACTTCTGCCTCCCAACAAGGCATTCCGAGGCCTGGTGTCTGCCCAGAGAAATATTTGGGTGTTGTTTTAATCCCCTCATTTATCTGTCTCCCCCCCACACACACACACTCCCCCCCCTTTCTGATTTGTAAAGTTGGCTGGTACTATGCAGAAGAGGCAGGAATGAGCGGAGAGGAAATGGTGGGGTGGGAAGCAGGAACCTGGATTCCCCCCCCCTCAGCTACAGAGCACCAGCTACACACGTTGTAAATAAGCCCCTTTAATCTTTATTTATTCTCTGCCATTTGAGTTATGCCACACTTTGGTCAAGATGGATTCTCCAAGCTAAGAGAAAGCATGTTAGGTCTCTACAGCAACAACAGGCTACAGAGGAGAGTTTATTTGGGTTATAGAAGGCTGGCGGGTGGTTTTCCGAGCGTTACATTGAAAACTGGAGGCCCAGTGTAGAAATCTTCCTACAGACCCACGATTAAAACTCTAATAGTGCCATAGCCCAAACAATAATAACAACAACAACAGTAAACAACAGCACATTCTCTTTGTAAGGGTTGCTGCTTACAGGCAGAATGGTTCACACGCAAGAACAAATATTTATTACCCAACTATTTTTATTTTTTTTTAGAAATACCCAAGCTAAAGTTACATAAAACATTATCCCATTACCCATTGTGACCCCAAATACTTTCAAGAATCCAGACCCTTCACTACAGAAGACCGAAGTTGTTGACTTATAAACAATATTCTCGGTCATAAAATCCCCAAACTTCCTTTTGATTCCATACGCTTAAGACCTGTTATACTATAAGTTCCAAGCCACCTTTCCCTTTAAAAGTCATTTTTAGAGAGTGATTCATTCTTTACAAATGAATCATTAAAAGCTCTTAAATTAATGTTCATCAGTTAAATTGAAGAGCAGTCCTTCCTTGCAAGGGAGGGAAGCATTTGAACGATGAGTAAATCATTATTAGGAGACGAGTTGCTATTAATGACCTTTTATATATAAAAAAAAGAAAATAAAGTTTTTGCAAAATGAACATTAGAGATGATCCGAATTGCACGGATATGTAAGAGGAAAGTCTACTGAGTCACAAAGAGGCGTAAAAAATAGATTTGCATCATATTATAAATGAGATTCCGTGTTCTCGTCTCCAAACCCAGCGGATCATAGCACTTTCCAAAGTAATATTATAAAAAGTTAAATGCAAGTAGCATATTTACTCACTTATTTAACCATCAAGTAGTCAAACTTCACATCTTAATCCATACATTCTTATTCACATGTGATATATGCATGTTTCTAAACAAGAGTTTTAAAGGTCGTGCTCTCTTTTTTTCAAGTAAGAGGGGAGGGGGGCAGTTGCTTAGGTCCACTTTTCCTGCTCTGCTCCCGTTCCCCTCTGCTTTTCCACGCCAATAAAGTGGTTCTATTTACAGTTCGGATGCACTCTGTACACAAATTGAGGGAGGAGAACCTACAGGGGAAATCTGTTTGTAAGAGAGAGCTTTAAAAACAAAACAAAAAAAACCCCCACCACCCATTTCCTTTGCCTGTTATTTCCTTACATTCTCAGGGAGTGTTAAAACCGCACGGGCTTCCTTGTCATTAAAGCCTAGGCTCCCAACAAATTAAATCGTAATCCGGTACCATTTCACGAATGCTAAACCCTCGACCGAGCAAATTCACACTGGCCATTCTGAAGGGATCACGTTGCCATGTAAATCTGATCTGAGAGCAATTGAGTATATGTGTGGCGGATAATTCCTGCGAGCAGATTACAGCGTCTGTAATAGAGGAGTGATAGATAGGTGGATTGGATTACAACTTTCATTTGTCCAAATTGCAGCGCTGACCTCTACATTCGGATAATCAGAAGTTGGGATAAGCTGGAGAGGTTTGTTTTATTTGCGTTTGCATGGATGTGCAAGGTGGGGGGAGCACGTATGGTTGTTGTGTGTGGGGGTTTTTTTTGGGGGGGGGGAGTGCCTGGCAGTTACCAGAAGCTGGTAACTGGACAGCTCGGAGACGGAGTTATGAGATGACAGTAATTGGCAGAGAATATGAGAGAAACTGGCAAATTACAGTTCCCTTATGAAACACGAAGTTGAAGTATTTAAAAATATTTCTTGAAATACACAGTTGTTCACATTCAAAATGATACAAGACAAAGTGGTGGTCTTGGGGAGTTAGGATTAAATTATATACCATTACTGTACCAATCTGAAGGTAGGACGAACTAGTGGTTCGCCATGCAGAAAGGTTAGCGTGGGAAGAAGCCAGGAAGAGAAATGCCCAAACTTCAGCCATTTGGGCAACTCTTCCTGCCCACTCGTCCATTCATTCATTAGTTTAAAAACACAATATCAGAATGGCACCGAATTCTGAGCGAGTTTCATTTATCCCTGAGTGCCGAATTGAAAAGAAAAAAACAAAACTCCAACGCACAAAGTAGACACAGACAATATTTTCTGCCGGCTCACCTCTATCGACAACACGGGCACCATCTAGCAGATGACCATTCCCAGCTGCCTTAAATATTTTTCTCCCCGATGCCTGGTGATCAATAAGGGGTGTTGTTGGCCGTCAGACCAACCGCTGCCCTTAACTCTAAACTGTCCAAAGACCCGGCCTTAACCACGGAAACGCAAGAGGGCACCGTTCTTGAGAGATATGCGGGAATATCGTTCCAGCTCAGCTCCATTCCCACCCATTCATCTGCCGGACTTTATATAAAGGTACCGCAGCAGGAACTTAAAAGTACAGGGTTTGATTAGGACCCTCGTGACAAAATACTAGTGTGAGTGTGTAAACACACACAGTCTTTCTCTCTCTCTCACACACACACACAAGCCATTCAGTTCATTAGGATCCTTTATGGAGGGAGACACGAAACCATTTTTCTCCATCCGTCCCCAGGAGGTGGCTTAAAGTTCTTATTTTTTTAAGACGCTCCATAATGAACAGCCCTATAACCCTCTCCAAAAGTATACCAAGATCGGTCGAACTTTTTAATCTAGCGTTCCTCTTCTTCGTACATATGCTTCTGTATTAATTTATAGCTCCCCTCCCCCTCCCCACCATATTCCTGTAAAAACCAAAAGGGTGGGGGGTGGGGGATAATAACCTCTTCCCCCAACCAAAACACGCTGGAAATTACCAAACTTTTCCAGATGAAACGAATTCCTTTTTTAAATTTCCTTTTCCCTCGTGTCCACGACAGCAGCAATGATAGGATCAGTTCTCATTTGTTTTATTCTTCTTGTCTTTCCACCCTCTTCCTCCTCCTCTTCCTCCTCCTCCTGCATTTATTTATTTATTTTCTTCTTTAAAAGAAAAAGAAAACAACAGCCAAAGGAAAGTCCAATTTTTTTAATCGATTTATCTCTTCCTCCTCCCCCCCCATCATTAGTATGTGGTTAAGAGGGAGGGTGTCTATCTGTGTTATGTGGGGGTGGAGGGGGCGCGCGTATCTGTTGTTCAAAAGTGATGGTGTTGGTGGCAGAGATGCTTTCGCTGGTTTGTTCTAGGGGGGTCCCCTGTGCAAAGCTAACCCCTCTAGGGTGCGATTTCGCAGTCTTCGACTTCTGCTATTGGTCAGCGCGTGATCAGATGGTTCTCTTTCCTTATGTCCCTGGTTGGCACGCGGCCATCCCCCTTCAGCTAAAACCCAATCTCCCATATACTGCTAATAGCTAAACCGCTTGGACTATAAAACGCAACAAATCATAAAGACCAAGGGAAAGAACAGACGCTGTTCCTCTGCTTTATTATTATTATTATTATTATTATTATTATTATTATTATTATTATTTCCAATGAGTTCTTATTTTGTCAACTCTACTTTTCCGGTGAGCTTAGCCGGGGGTCAAGAACCGTTTCTGGGACAGCTCCCCTTATATTCCACGGGGTATGCGGACCCTTTAAGGCACTACCCTGCCACTTATGGAACTGGGGGTGGGGGGGTCCCGGATAAAGGTTACCCGGGCGCGCCTTACTACCAGCAAGCCAACGGAGCTTACAACCGGAGCCCAGCCTGCGATTACGGGACATCTGGTTTTTACAGAGAGAAAGAGACAGCCTGTTCTCTTTCGAGTTTAGAGGACCCTGTTCCGTTCGGCCAGGAGCAAGTCCGGAAGTCAGATTGCTCCCAGAACAAACACGCTTTCGGGGAGAGCGAAGACCAGAAGTGTTCCACGCCGGTGTACCCCTGGATGCAGAGGATGAACTCCTGCAACAGTAAGTTCCTCTTTTCTCTATGTTCTCTGTAAGGATGGGCAGGCAGACAGACAGACGGATAGATAGGTAGGGAGGGTTCCCTTTCACCTCATCTCTTTCTGAACAGGAAACGCTGCCCTTCTCGTCTCAGCTTCCAGACAGCGGGAAGCAGAAACTTTCCTCAAACTTTTATCCTACTTAGATCATAACTTCCATAACGAAGGTTTGAGTGTATGTGAGTGTGCGCGCGCTTGTGTGTATACATATATATTCATGGCACGAGGTTCCCTCCAGTGAGTTCGTTTCTTTAGCCAACTTTCTGTTATCTGGGGAGGTACGGAGATTATTGATTGACCGGCTCTGTCTTGTGGAAGGCAATGTTAGCTGTCACTCAGGAGGAGTGATTTAGAGACGTGTCTTGTGTACTTACACACACACACAAACACACACACACACACACGCGCACACGCACGATGCAATCCATATCACACTGAAGTCCCCCCCCCAATTGAATTTAATGGACTTGGTTTTAGCCCCCTTCTCATATCTCCCCCCCCCCCGCTCTCACACACACCTTGGCCAATTCATATCCCAGAGAGTGTATTTCTATAACACAGCCAGTTGAATAATGTCGGAAGGGCTTAAATATTTGAAAGGAGAGAGCTACATTTTTAATGAAACTCGCACATAATGAAATGCCTGTCTGGAGAGGAGTTGCAGATAGTTTCTCTTCCACTCACTCACTCATTCCCATACTCTCTCTCTCTCTTCCCCACCCCCACCCCTTCTTCTGTGATCGACCATGGCCCTCCAGGTGCTAGATTTTCCATGAAAACACATTCTTGAAAATGAGGTGGAAACAGCAACCTCTCCTCCTCCCTTCCCTGTGTTTAGACGTATTATACGTTGTCGATCTCAAAAATTCCGGAGTGGGCTGATGTTGGGCGGGGAGGGGGGATCAATAAACTTACCTTATTGCTGAAACTCTGGAATCTATTCCAGTTACCGATAAAATACGCCGGGTGGGGGGTGGGGAGGGAAAACAGAAGAGAAGGGGAGAGGAGAGGAGGAGGAGGGACCCAGTACCTTGCAAGTTTTACATAACAGAAAGGAACTGCCCCAGAAGTAAACTGAAGTAAGGGTAGAAATGGAATTCATAACCTCCCATGAATTTTGTCCGGAAATAAGTGCGTAAAGGGGTGGCAAACGCCTTAGCAACTCTCCCAGGACAAAATCCTGCAAGCCTTTCCACTGCGACCCTAAAAAAACATTAGCTGGGAAGCTAAGTCTCATTGATTTCTATGCGCCATTACTTCCCAGTGGCACCTCGATCCTGAGCTCATTTACTTTCCAGAAAGTCTTACTGCTTCTCTTCGGTAGGGTTTTCCTTCCAAGCTTTTAAGTTGGCTTTGGGGGACCACAAGCTCTAAGAGTAACGCGTTCCGCTCCCAAACAGCACTATTCCAAAAGTAAAATCTCGCGGAGCCCACTGGGGTTTACTCCCAAGGCAGTATGCATAGGACCGCAGCCTTAGCCCTCCGTGAACTCCGCTCAGTGGGGGCACTAGAGTCCACAAGGCAGGGAAGCGCAAGGGTGGGTGGGTGGGGGAAGGGTGGGTGGACCTTTTCTGCTGGAGGAGCTAAGCTCCATAGAACAGGAACGGCAAGCTTTCGAGTTACACAGATCTCTTCTTCGAGGTGTTTATTATCATTATTTTCTTTTGAAAGGACTGCGTATGTTGATTGGCCAGGCTGCAAGTTTTGAAGCTCAGCCTTTTGGGAGCAGGGTTGGGCCTCTCCAGAGAGCATGCTTATGCATGGGGGCAATGTCCCCACACAACTACAACCCAAATGAAGTGCAGGGTTATTTTGGAAGACCTTTCGAAAGCATCAAGTGAAGGCAACCCAAACTGAGTTTCTGTTTTCTTGTACGCATCTTCATTCCTTCATTCCTTTAATTTCCTATCCTTCTGGAAGTTTACGTGTACAAAGAGGGCCTTTCGATCGGAGAGATTGGAGGACTGGGATGCGGTGGGGGGGCACAAGGAGAGGGGAAGTGAAGAGAACACCTTCTCTCTCTCTCTCTTACACAACGCACACACACAAACTGGTTAGCCTAGTAGCCATTGTCATGCATATTTGAAGCTCCGAATAAATGTCCAACGTCCTTTTCAACCAACCCTTGTTTTCCTCCCGTCATAGGTTCCTCTTTCGGGCCGAGTGGCAGGCGAGGGAGACAGACCTACACTCGTTACCAGACCCTGGAGCTGGAGAAAGAATTCCACTTTAACCGTTACCTGACCAGGCGCCGCCGGATCGAAATCGCCCACGCGCTCTGCCTGACGGAACGCCAGATCAAGATCTGGTTCCAGAACCGAAGGATGAAGTGGAAAAAGGAAAACAAGCTACTCAACTCCACTCAGCTGAGTGCCGAGGAAGAAGAGGAAAAAACAACGGAATGAGAGAGAGATTGCAGAGGAAGGAGGGAGAGAGAAGGAAGACAGCGAAAATGCCAAGGGTTGTGAGGGGCTCCCAAAAGGGCAAAAATAAAAGGCACAGCGGAGACACACACATATTTTTTTTTGTAAAATACCCGAGACTGTATGGAGGTGTTGGCCCATCTTCCTCATGCACCCTCTCTCGCATCCAGTAATCTGTCGTGTCATAATCAAGATTCTAGTCCAGTTTATTTCCCTATTCTTTCTATTGGCCCTTCCTCTTCCCCGCCCCCGCACCACAAACGGATTTTTTTTTTAGGGTGTCCTTCTTAGGATTCTTGCTAACTCTTGTATTTAAATGGAGGTGCTGCAATATATGTGTCAGATTTTTGGGGTTGTTGATTGTCTTCATTTTGTAAAACAAAAGTCTCATGCACGATTTTACTTATATGTTGCTTTTTAAAAAAGGAAAAGCGTTAAATTAGGTTCTTTGACATTTAAGGGTTGCTGTTGCTTTTTTTTTTAAGAAAAGATCTATTGAAAAGGAACAATTGCTACCTAAAAAAATATGGTGAAATAAAAAAAATAGGAGGGGTGTTTTTGTTTGTTTTATTTTATTATATTTTTTTGTACAGTGTTGTGTTTGTAGTTTGTGTTAGTTATGGAGATGGACGTTCTCTAATAAACAGCAAACAAACATGTTGAGAAAAACACTTGGCACGTTCCTATTTTTAGGGTGTGCGTCCTCCTCCCCTCTCCACACTCACATATACACACACAAACACACACAGAGATACTTCTTTCCTGAGGAATTGGTCTACCTACAGAAGCTGTGGGCTTGTTAGGGGGGAAAGGGAACAATAAAAAGCCCCGCTGTTTGATAGAAGTTCTCTCCCCTAACCTGAACAGCCAAGCAATTTTTTTAAGCTTTACAGAAGTTAGCGCTGAAAGATAGATTCGGCTCCTCACACCTCCCACTTCCAATACTCCTCAGCCTAATCTTAAATGAAAGACCTTTTCACCAAGAATATCTTGGAGTTGACATTTAACTTTAATATGGATATATTTTATTGTTACAGCACAAAAGAGTTATGAAGGGGGGGGAGCTCACCACATATATAATAAATCAAGGGAGCAGGCATAACTGTGCCCCCTCCCCAATCATACATCTGCTAGAAGATATCTAACATTTGTATAGCCGCCTTCAAATATTTGGCCCACTTCCTTTCAGCTCGTTCTCCCGCCACCGCCTGCTCAAACACCCCACAACCCCTACGACTTACATAGAACTCAAAAATTATATTAAAAAGGTGGAACCACAAGCAGTTCGCACTTTTGTGTGTGTACGAAGCTGAAAGGGATATACCAGCAGGAAACTTAACGAATGATTGGAATACCGCAATACCGCTAATCTCTTTCAAGCATATATATATATATATAGCACATATATAGAGCACACACACACACACACACACACACACACATATATATATATAGCACCTACACCTCTCTCTGCTCACCCCAAGTGCCTCCTTCCAACATTTCTTTATATTATTTTATTGCATGGCGACATGCTTGCCATGGTTAGACAAAGAACAGTTTCCAGAGAGCTCCAGGATTACTTAGGGAAGCTTTGAAAGGCAGCTTTTCGCTAATTGTCATTGTCTCTCTCGTTCTGTGGAAGCAAGCGGTCTGCAACTCTTTCTGACTTGCTGTTATTCTTGCAACCAAGTTTCCTTATTTTGTTTTAACCCCCCCCCTGTAAAAAAGGATCGTGGATTATTATTTTACAGCTTTGGCCACCCCAAATTCACAGGTACCTCAACACCTCAAAGCCTCCCCTCCCCAAATTATGGTGTTAATGGCAGACACTTAAAAAAATCAATTCCAGCTGAAGCCTCGCAGCTGCAGGACACTTATCCTTATTGCTACTCTTTTCATTGGCCGTAATTATTATAATTATATGTCACTTTGAATATGGCTCATAATTTCCAATGGGTTCCAGGCTGACTTCTCGAAATTCCTGAGCGGTTCTTCGAGAAAAAAACAAAGAGAGGGGGGGAAACATTTCGGAAATGCTGGAGAAAGCAAAGGCTTTCATAAATCTGGGCCATTTATTTATTTATTTTTGCATTTTTCACTTCAGACCAAACGTTGGTTTCCAATTTTTAGGCTGTAATCCGACACCCACTTACCTGAGAGTAAGCCCTACTGAATACAATGGGACTTCTTTCTGTGTAGGTATGAATAGGATTGCCCTTTTAAGTGGGGACAGCATTCTATTGTAACTGTTCATGTTATGGGCGATATATGTCACTCAGGATATCACCAGTTATATGAATAAATACACAGAACTCCCTAATTTTTAAAGGGGATAGTCTTTCCTTTCTAATATCTAGGCAGCAAAGGTACTGAGATGTAGTAATAATAATAGCAACAACAACAGCAACAACAGCAGTACTCCTGCTTATGTGAACCAAGTGCAGTGCAAATAAGTGAAAAGCGCTCAGTTATTAGCACAGGTAGGTGCTGGTTTTGAGAGGCACGTATTCTTCAGGTAGGATTAGACTGCAGTGCTATGCACACTTACCTGGAGGCAAGCTCCACAGAACCTAGAGAGGCTTACTTCTGAGTAAACATGCATATAATGGGAAGAAAGCAGGGAGGGAAAGGCGGAACGGAAAAAGAGGAGCAGGCGTTTGAGTTTAAATTAGGATGGACTCTCTGGTGCGGCACCTTTTCTGACACCAACACAATAAAGGCATTGGGGTTATAATTTATTATCACAGCAGCAATTACCACCAGTAGTCATAATAATAGCAATGTTTTAATACACAAAAGCGCACCAGCGTGGAAGGAGGCAAACGGGGCTGTATTAGGGGGAAATGTTACCTTCAGAAATAACAAGATTTAAAAAGAGAAATAAAGATTCCGAAAGGACACTTTTGGGGAGTGTAGCGATTGAAGTATTTTATTTCTGTAAAAGGTGGGCACGGAATGAGAGCGCGTTACTCTTTCTTTTATTTATTTTTTTACAAACCTGGGTGAGCTTATCCTCCATGCCGGCTAACTCTCCCTTTGCCCAGTAGGTGGCGCAGTCCGCCAACAAGGAGCCACCTCTGCTTTCTGATTCCTCCCCCCTTCTTTCCTCCCCCTTTTGGAAGCCGCGCATTGACATGGGCCTAACGATTCTCGGATCGTCATTATTTGTAACCATAGAGCATGAATTGCCTCTTGAGGTCATCAGTGAGAATTTACGACTGGTCAACAAAAGCACGTGATTCCCAAACGCACCCCCCACCCCACCCCCATATTTGGCCGCATACATAGCAAAAACGAAGTACAGTGCATCGCTATAATTCATTAATACATCATAAATCCTCAAGCACAGGGGTTATAACGACCACGAGCCCCACAAATCAAGCCCTCCAAAATACAACCCAAATGAGTTCTTACTTTGTAAACTCGTTCTCAGGACGCTATCCTAATGCCCCAGACTATCAGCTGTTAAATTATGGGACCGGCAGTTCCATGAACGGATCTTATAGAGATCCAGGCAACATGCACGCCGGCTCTTATGGTGGATACAACTACAATGGGATGGATCTGAGCATCAGCCGTTCAACCTCCTCCTCCAGCCACTTTGCAACGGTTGGGGAGAGCTCCCGCGCCTTCCCTGCCCAAGCCGCGCCGGAGAGCAGGTTCAGACAGGCGTCGAGCTGCTCCTTGTCCTCTCCCGAGTCCCTCCCTTGCACCAGCACCAGCAGCAGCACCAGCAACAACAACAACAACAACAACGGCGGCGGAGGCGGCGGCGGCAGCGGCGGCAGCAGCGGCGAGAGCCATGGAGGCAAAGCAGCCTCTTCTTCCCCCGCCGACCAGGCAGCCTCGGTCGGCACGGCCAACGCCACCAGTTTCACAGAGATAGACGAAACCAGCGCGTCCTCGGGAACTGAAGAGAGCGGCTCCCAAGTCAACAGCAACGGCGTCAGAGCTCAGGCAGAGCCCATCGCCACGTCCACGCCAGCCACAGAAGGACAGAGCCCACAGATATTCCCCTGGATGCGAAAACTTCATATTAGCCATGGTACATGCTCCTTTTTAAAATTTGCATCTTTCTATCTGTCTACTTCTCTCTCTCTCTCTCTCTCTATCTCTCTTTATATATATAGGAATATATATGAAATATGTTATTGGCAGGGCAGACAGGGAATGGGGGATGGGAGGTGGAAATGGAGCACAATCGCCTGGGAAGACAGCCTCGGTGTGTCTTTTTATGGCTTCCCTTTCTGCTTCCCATCAGAAAGTGCCTTTAGTTATTATTTTTTAATTAATTTAATTTAAAAGGGAGGGAAAGTCTGATTTAGGAGAGGTTTTCTGAAAATGTTTCCCAAAAATAAAATAAAAATAACGCAGACATAGCAAGTATCTGGGTGACAGGACCTAGTGCTAGAAGTAACCACATTATAATATTCAGAGACGTGAGAATAAGAGTAGTCGTGGCAGCAGTCATACTGGGCTTTTAAAATACCAGGAGTTGACGAGGTAGGGAGGAAAGGAACGGGTAGACTGGTTTGTGGGGAAGAAGAAAAACAGTGCTGTTTGTGGGCACAGATGGGTCTGTCAAACATCTCCTCTTGCCGCCGCCACCACCCCACATTATAGTGTCTGTTGTGACAATGTGGGATAATGGCAAACTCTTTCCCCCTCCCCTCCCCCACGGTAAAAACGGATGGACGTTGCCAAGGAGGATCTGAGCGGCAGAGTTCGAAGGGTGAGGGAATATCGACTCGCTTAACACGCCGATGCTAAATGCATTTGGGTGGAGAGAGGAAGCCCCAAGGATTTCAGTGTGGAAGTTGCTTCCAGCGAAGTGTAGCTAGCTAGTGTCAAGGGGGTGGGCAAGTCAGTTCCAGGGCGAAGGGGAGGCACGGGAACGTACGACCAAACTGGTAGTCCCTCGCCTCCCTTCCTCTCTGCTCGCCTGTGTATGTCTCCCCATTTTTATTATATTGGTATACAGTACAAGCAGAAAGAGACAAGGAGATACTATGAAGGCTTAGAGCGTCAGCGTCAGGCTGCCATCCTGTCCACCCCTTCCCTAGAAGTAGGCATTACTGAAGCCAGTGGGGTTTACTCCCGAGTAAACCTGCAGACGCTGGAGTTCTGGAAATGTCTAAACTTGCTATAGGGTCAAGGGAAAGGATGCCGCGCAGGAGGGGTTGGGGTGGGGACATATTGATACTGGCACATATATATTTTTTTAAAAATGGGTGGAATTCAGGTTCAAAATGAAGTCACGGAGAAGGGAATAAAGGGAAGGTGCTAAGGTGGTTGGGGCGTGATTTTTGCAAGTAAGCTGGGGTGAGCTTATTCCAACTAAGCAGGAAACTTGTCGAATAATCTCTCTGGCATAGTAGTAATAAAGACAAAGCCGAACAGAACCCAAAATGTTGTCCATGTATTATTACCCAGATATGACTGGACCGGATGGTAAACGAGCGCGGACGGCGTACACTCGCTACCAGACCCTGGAACTGGAGAAGGAGTTTCACTTTAATCGCTACCTCACCCGCAGAAGGCGAATAGAAATAGCCCACGCTTTGTGTCTCTCCGAAAGACAGATAAAAATCTGGTTCCAAAACAGGCGAATGAAGTGGAAGAAAGATAACAAACTCAAAAGTATGAGTTTAGCGTCTGGTGGCAGCGCATT